ATATGTAAATGAGTATTTTCACAGGAATTAAAAACTATAGATGGGAAATATAGAGATGAAAATTTTTTATAATAAAAATTTTAATGTTTAAAAAATCAAAAATATATAGGAATTATCACCCACCCACCCCCCCACCCCCCCCAAATAAAATATTTTTGAACTATTTGGTTTACTTGGCATGATGATTAAGTTATTTTTAAAAAAATAATCCACTTAGATAGGATACACGCGCAACGCGTGTACCATAAGGCTAGTAGGAATAATAAAGTCAAACAGGCAACTAAAACAACTTTTAATAAGACGCATTTTTGGAATGAACGTGCTTTCGCTAGCCTGGACCTCATCAAAAATCACACATTTTTTTTGTATTATAGCTGGAAAGCAGAGAGATAACTTTGTATTGCCTTGGTATGAGTGTTACAATGTGTTGAAGATAATGATCAGGCTAACAAACCTGATAACTATGTAATTAGCTAGCCTAGTTTAGGAGAATTAGGACTCCTTGTATTAGCTATCCTAGAAGAGTCCTATTCTATGTAATATAGCCGAAAATACAGTAGGAAATACTGTATAAATAGGACTCATGTATCAATATATCGATCAATACATTGCCTTCTTAACACTGTCTCTGCACCATATTTTCTCATGGTATTAGAGCTTCTTTGAAGCAAATTCCGCTGCCAAAATCCAGTCTCTACTACACAATATCAATCCTGTTCATATGGCTTCCAACACTTTTTCAACAACCTCTCTTCATCATCTCATTGCATCATGTCCTATGAAGTTGAAGCCTTCTAACTATCTGATATGGAGAACACAAATGATGCAACTCATACAAGTGATGAGGTTGAACTATCTCATTGAAGGAAAGCCAGAAATTATAAATGTAGAAGGCACCAGTGAAAGCAGCGACAAAGATAGTGGCAAGGGAGTTGACAAAGATAGTACTGCTGCTGATTGGGCTGAAAAGGATGTGTTGTTAAGGAGTTGGATATCAGGGACAATGTCAGAAGAGAGTATGTATCTCATTGTGGGATGTACGACTGCCAAACAGATGTGGGAATGCGTGGAAGAAACCTATCTGCAGGCAACAAAGGACAAGGAATTCCAGTTGAAGCAACAACTTCAAACTATCAAGCTTGGCAGTAGAACTATCGATGAGTATCTGAAGGAATTCAAAGGCATTTGCGATGGCTTGGCTGCCATACACAAGCCTGTCGAAGATGATAGCAAGGTAATTAACTTTGCTAGAGGTTTGGGTCCTAAATACAAAACTTTTAGGACAGTAATGCTTGGCAAAGCACCTTATCCAACTCTGAGTCAGTTGGTTACTTCTTTAAGAGGTTTTGATCTTAGAGTGGATGAAGGAGATGATTCACAGGCGAATCACAATATGGCATTTGCAGCACAAAGGACATACAACAACAGAGGTAGAGGAGGAAGAGGTAACATGAACTACAGTTTAAGAGGTAGAGGTTTTAGGCATGTCGGACAGAACAACCATCAAAACAATCAAGGATCTGGAAATGTTGTTAAGGGACAGGAAATCATAGGATCATCAGCATGTCAGATATGTGGCAGAAACAATCACACTGCAATAAAGTGCTTCTACAGATGCGACTTCTCCTATCAAGCACCAGAAGAGTTGCCACATACTTTTTCCACACTCAATGTAAACAGTCAGAATGGTGGAGATAATGCTCACTATATGGATTCTGGAGCAAGAACTCATATAACCAACAATTCAGGTATCTTATCCAAACTTAAACCTTACAATGGGAATGATAAAATTGTAGTAGGAAATGGACAAGAATTAGATATCACACATGTTGGGAAAGGAACAATTTCTGGTTTAAAGATGAGTGAAGTGCTAGTAGTTCCTAAGCTCAAAAAGAATCTGCTATCTGTAAGTAAGATTACTAGAGATAATTGCTGTTCTATTGAGTTTGAGGAATCATCTTTTGTTATAAAGGACAAGAGGACAGGGAAACTGATGGCGAAGGGTGCTAAAAGAAGAGAGATATATGCCTTGAAGGTGGACAACCTGCTTGCCTTAAGTGAAACACAGACAAGGAGAAGCTCTAGTGATATTTGCATGCCAGACTTGGGCATCCAAATTCTAGGTCCTTAGAAGTACTTAGTAACAATAAAATTATCAATGTCACATGTTGGAACAAAATTCCTATTGTTTGTGTTAGTTGTCAAATGGGAAAAGATTGTAAACTACCATTCAAATTGAGAAATAAAGTTGAGAATGAACCTCTATTGAAAATTCACTGTGACTTATGGGGTCCTGCTCCTGTTGAATCTTCCCAACATATGAAATACTATGCTTTATTTGTTGATGATCATAGTAGATATACTTGGTTGTATCCTCTAAAAAGAAAATCTGACTTCTTTGAAACATTTGTCAAATTCCACAAAATGGCTGAGAAACAATATTTAAAGAGTATCAAGATTTTTCAATGTGATGGTGGAGGTGAATTTTCAAGTTCAGAATTTGTTAAGTATTTAGAAGACTGTGGCATTGCAAGACATATTTCCTGCCCTCACACCCCTGAGCAAAATGGCATTGCAGAAAGGAAACATAGACATGTAGTAGAAACTGGATTGACACTACTACTACATGCTAGATTACCCTTGTATTAATGGACTAAAGCATTTCTCACAGTAGTTTTTCTGATAAATAGATTGCCATCATCTGTACTTAAGAAGGAAACACCATTTCATAAATTGCATGGCTCACATCCTGATTACAACAGTTTAAAAGTGTTTGGATGCAGATGTTTCCCTTACTTAAAGGGAAAACACAAGTTCTCCCCTAAGTCCTATCCATATGTGTTCATTGGTTACAGCATTCTGCATAAAGGCTATAGGTGCTATCATCCAACCACAAGGAGGGTCTTTGTGTCAAGACATGTTGTCTTTGATGAACTAACACTTCCGTTGTCCCTATGGAATGAAAAACTCCCCTTTATATAGTAGGGGAGTTATACCCCTAGTACAATTCTAAAAAGGTTAAAATCCTTTTTGTATGCCAATTACTGATACGCTATCGACATCGGGCGAGATCCGCGCCGTGGTATCCGATTGGGCGCAGATATCACGGTCTCCTGTTAGTCGTGTGAAACCATTTTGTAATGTTTTCCGAGGTCTCAGAGCTCGTTCCGGGTCCGGGGGTGTTGTACAGTCAGGCTCGGCGGCGCGTACCCTGTTGCAGCCTCGATTCGAAGAGAACGCAGATTCGGTCTCTATCTCATACATTTATACTTCTTACTTCATTTGTCTCACCGAGAACGAGGGGTGTGTGCCGACCCCAAATTTACCGGTATACAAGTCTATATAATATCAAAATTAAACATTTCATTAATTGTATTGTTCTGATTTTCAAAAATAGCAATGCGTGGTCATATATATTTAGATAATATCCTTTAGATATGCATGCAAAAAGTTTATACTGATGATATGCTGAAGAAAATTAAACGTGTAAATGGCTTGCATTTAATTTAATATTTAGAGGCGAAAGTTGTGACGGCTAGATTAGAGGGCCATGATCGGCATTGAATAAACTCACTGCATTGAATGAATATTTTCAACTTATTCATAAGTGAATTCATCAAATTAACTCACTCACTTAGCTTAAGCACGCACAATCTTAAACCATAAGTAATCGCCTCAACAGCTTAGAACTCCGAGCACGCAGCAAAAATGAGAACGTTTTAAGTTATTTATATACAGATATTGCACACTTTTTTGTATATAGTTTAAGGTGAAAACTTACTGGTATCGAGTAGGTATACCGAACTAATAGAAGCATATCATATGTTTGAATATATATTTTTCTCATGTAACTATGGTCAATTAAGTACTCCTTCCGTTTTAATTATGTGATTCTATTTTTTTTCGTCGGTTCAAAAAATAATGGCACCTTTTTAAATTTAAAATACTTTGATTTGAACTTCCTATTTTACTCTTCAATCTTAATGAGAAGCTTTTATAGCATTATGGCATGTTTTAAACCATAAGTTTTAAGAGTATTTATCCATACAAATATTATGACATGTTTAAGACAACAACCTTTAAAAATCTTTATATTTTTCTTAAAATCCATACTCTACTAAACAAGTTCACAAAAATTAAAACGGATAGAGTTATATTATTGTATACCGTAAAATACGCTATGCTAAGTGGCCTCTTAAGAGAGTGACACGTGAAACTTAAGACGCGGGACAGTTAGAACCAAAGGCAAGTATCACGTTTGTCACCGGAAAGAATGACACCCGTAAAGATGCAACAAATACCCTCCCATCGGTAGCATTTAACGAAGAATATTCGACAACATTTAGTGTGCCGCTTGTTACAGAAAATTTGTCATTTATGCTCATCGTTACACCTCTCTTAATTGACATTAAAGAATGGCACGATCCTAAGACCTTGTTCGCTAGGCGTAGCTATAAATAGTGAGCTCTGTTATCATTGTAAAAATCACGAATTTTCTTGCAAACTTATCCTATAACCAATTCAAAGCTTTATACAATTTTATCTTCCTACTCCTTGATTTCATTACCGTTGTGCCCGGAAGCCCTGCTCACGGAATTTCTGTTTCTGCTATATTATCCTCATTTCAAGGTTAAGTATTGTATATTTCTTTAATTATTTTATTATTTCAGGATCAAATTAATTCACTTATCTAAAAACCATGTATAAATTCAACTGTACCGTGTTAGAGGTAAACAATTATCCCTCATAAAATCACTTAACATAATATGCCGGTATGATTTATACAACGGTTTGGTAAGTTTAACCGTTGTATATTTATATCAATTCACGTGCGCTCCTCTACGAGTATCTGCCATTCAATTTTTACTTCTCCGCAAATCAAATTGATAAATGAAAAAAATAAAAAAAAGAATTTAATTAAAGAGTCTTCTGAGATTTAATTCCCTGTTATCTTTCACTGTGTGGTAAGTACAACTAGTAGGATTGGACAACCCCTTCTTTTAAATTGACCCTCAACTCCTCCTTTTCTTCTCCCTTGTTTTAACTCAAAACTAAATTCCCATTTCCCATATCCAAAAGTTCATTTTTTGTTTCTTCCATGGAGTTAGCTTTGAGCTTAGGTGGGGATACCCCAAAATCATTTTTGTTTCTTGAAAAGTCATCATCTTCTTCTTCTTTACATGAGAAGCTGATGGATAGCAGCAAAGATTTAGGGTTCTGCATGGGTTTAGGAAAGTGCAGTGAAGATAAAAGCAGAAAAAATAAGCAGAGGCGGAGCCAGGATTTAAAGGAAGGTCACGAAAGTAAAGGGTCATCAGATCCACTGCTTCAGCTTGATCTCTTGCCTTTTTCTACAGTTTCTAGGGACACATCTTCACAGCTTCACTTCCCTTGGCTCACTGAAAACAGTGAGTAAATTCTCTCATGATTTTTCTTTCTTCTTGTTTGTTTTTTTCTTTGTTCCTACTTGAGCTTTAGGATATATAAGTTTTTTACACAAAATTCTGCCATATGGATTATGTGGGTGGTTGTGTGTCACGAGGGGGTACGTGATGGGCTGTGGTGGAGGCGTGGCGAAGCCACATGGTGATAAGGGTGGTCAAATGACCACCCTTCGTCAAAAAATTACACTGTATACATAGGTAAAATATTATGTTTTGGAACTTCTTTTAAATTGAATACCCTTGGGGAAATTCCTAGCTTCGCATATTGGAGCTACCCTTTCTACGTTGGGTGTCACTGCCTTTGCTCGAAAATTACATTGTGTAGATAGGTAGGTTTCATTCTTTATGTAATATTATATGTTGAATTTCTTTAACTTCTTTATATTTTAAATTTGCATATACACTTTGTCGGAATTATAGTAATAATTCCGACTCCGCCATTGGTGATGGGTGTTACTGTGTTATATATACTTGTATTTGTAAGGTTTTTCAAAACATCAAATGTATGTACCATCTTTGTTTGTTCTTTTAAGTAAATCTTCTTGCTTCTAGGGTTTAGAGAAGATTTGTGGTTATAGCATGTCACTTGTGTGATCCCTTATAAGATCAAACATAATTTTTGATGTTCTCCTTAAGGTTTGTTGATTGATTGTGCCTGTTTTTGTTAGAAAATTGACAGAAAAGGAAAATATTGAAAAAAGAGCTTGAGGCATGTAGAACACTTAAATTCTGGAGATACAGCAAGAATGTTATTTACAGTTATTTAAATATGTGCAAGTAGATTACCTATAGGTAAAAAAACTTGATAATCTAATTTTTTTACTCTATCATTATATTTAAGTTAAACTCTATGATTAACAACTTCTCCATATTACGAACTATTCAACAGTAGCTGGTGAACCTGGACCGGCGGGAAAGGTGTTGGACATAAACCGGCGGCAGTTAGTGGCGGAGGAGACTGAGGAAGGGGCGGCTCTGTCATCTCCGAACAGTGCAATATCAACTTTTCAAGTGAACTTTCCAATATACAGAAATGAAAATAAGTTATTAGGGAAGAGAGAGTGTGAAGGAGATCATGTAGAGAGATGGGGTAATTCTTCTTCTAGAGCTAGTGATGAAGAAGATGGTTCAGCCAGAAAAAAGCTTAGACTTACAAAAGAACAATCTGCTTTTCTTGAAGAAAGCTTCAAAGAACACAACACTCTCAATCCAGTAAGTCAAACTTCTTCTCATTCTTTTCTTGATCTTTTGTCCCGGTAAAAGAATCCTTATACTCGTAGGTGTATCCAGGATTTCAATTTTTTGAATTCAATATTTAAGGTTCTTAGCTTTCAACCCATTATATTTTAAAAGTTATGGGTTCATATCTACTATCCTCCGTTCCAATTTATGTGAACCCGTTTGACTGGGCACAAAGTTTAAGAAAAAAAGAAGACTTTTGGAATTTATGATACTAAACAAGTCAAAAAGGGGTTCAGAGTATTTGTGTGGTTATAAAAGCTTGTCATTAAGGGTGGAATTGAAAGTTTAAACTAAATTATTTTCAAATTTAGAAAGGGGTCATTCTTTTTGGAATGGACCAAAAAAGAAATAGGTTCACATAAATTGGAACGGATGGAGTATTTCTTATAATTTTAATAAATTTTTACACATAAACTTATACTCCGCATCGAAAGTTATGGGTTCCATTAAATCCGTAACTACAATGCTACCTCCGCCACTGCTTATACTATCAGGTTTTCGGAAAGATATATATATATGTATAGTTACAAGACGATAATTAAAAAAATGGAATTAAGTAACCTGGATAATAAAGCAATTAGTTGTCCGCTATAACATGTTGATTTATACAGCGTATATATGTTAAATCCTAAAATCATGACGTTAGTCATCTATACAGTATTAATAATTTAATACAATATGTTAGATGTTATTTTCTTAAATTTATTTTCTTGGTATTATTCTTGATGTTTTGGAAAATACAAAACTGTAATTGCAGAAACAGAAGCTTGCTCTAGCAAAGCAATTAAACCTTCGTCCAAGACAAGTGGAAGTGTGGTTCCAAAACAGAAGAGCAAGGTAAGCATTAATATTTAGTTTTAAGTTCTGTATATGACAATGTAAAAAGTATGTACACAATAAGTTCACTTAGAATTAATTAGCCTACTACCATTTTTACATTATTGTCTGTGTATTGAAGAAAAATATTTATTTGAGAAAAATGGCAGGACAAAATTAAAGCAGACAGAGGTAGATTGTGAGTATTTAAAGAAGTGCTGTGAGACACTGACAGAAGAGAATAAGAGGCTGCAGAAAGAGCTTCAAGAATTAAGAGCTTTAAAATCTTCTCAACCTTTTTACATGCAGCTTCCTGCCACCACTCTCACTATGTGTCCATCTTGTGAGCGCGTGGTCACCGCCACTAGCTCCGCCGCAGCTGCTTCTGCCGCCGCTGCCGCAAACACGATGCTTTCTCTGGCTAAACCAGAACCCTTCCCATTTTCACCAGCCCAAGTTCAGGCTCCTCAGGCTGCTTCATAATTTTTTTTCCTTTTATTTGATGTTCAGTATTTGTATTTGGAGCCAATCAAAGTTCGAATTCGCACTAAAAAGTTTTATATTGAAAGGTAAAGCGATTCTTAACAAAATGTACATGTTAGGATTAACATAGGGTATTCTTGGTTGTTATTTTTCAACTAAATATTCCTTTTTTTTTTTCTTCTTTTTTCTTATAAACTATACTTTGTCATTCATGGTGAGTTTAAAACTAACTAGGGACTTAAGATTGGGAGGAAGTTTGTTTGTCTGGGAATATTTTAGAGGTTTTAATTAGGAGGAAAAATATACTATGTACTGCTCGAAATTTATGTTGTAGAAGAAAGAATATGTTACTTTTCCTTAATTTTATTAGATGAATAATCCAGATTAAGTATCGCTAATGCTTTGGGTGCATGTGTAAACCATTATTTACTTGCCATACATCATTTGCAAGCTTATCAAAATTATATTTATTCAAGCTGTATTGTTAATGAGATGATCAAAATATATTTAAATTTGGACTTCAGTCAGCCTCTTGTCTTGAACCTTAATAGGCGCAGCGTTAACGAAAATACATTATATGTCAGAAGGGTTAGTGAAATTTAAAAGGCTTTAAGATCCATTCTTCCATCCATAAAATTAGCGACTAAATATTTTCTTAACTAATGATTGCGAAATTCAAATGACTATTCGATTAAATGTAAGAGAAACAACAATGAAGAAGAATGGAGTGTAAATTGGATTTTATTTTCTCAGGTTAGCAGAAAATTGACCATAACTTCTTTTCTTCTAGTCTCCCATCAATATAATAGAGTATACTAATATCTAACACGGGAGGGACAAGGAGTGGGAAATTTCATTTATCATATGAAGGGGCTCAAGACATGAGGCATATATATCTTTTAATCTTTAAAAATAAAAATATATGCTAAAATTGAAAAATTTATGAAAATTATGAAAAGGTTCATTAAAACGGTATAGTTCATATAAATTTACAGATGAAAAACAATGGAAGTTTATTTGCATGTTATAACAGCATATGCAAACAAAAATATTACTAAGTCATCGAGTACTAAATATAGAGCAAAAAAAATGATGTGTATAAGTTTAATATATCGTCCTATACAAGATCACAAAACGTAATAGATTGAAATGACATGTTCATTTCTGGGGAAATAAGGTAGATTTTTTAAATAAATTTCTCGTTTATCAAATCAAATGCTAGAAACTATTCTGGAACTATATATCAAGGGAAATAAATGCTATAGTAAGGAAAATAATGGCTCAATGAGGTACAAAGAACATATTTACAGAGATCAGAAAAGTCAGGAGAGAGTTTTCACTATAAGCCATTAATGACAAGTTAAGATCGAGTACAGTACGTAACTTATTTATTATTACTTCACAAGATATTGGTTTCCAACATAAATGTGACATCAACCTTATACCTTGTTTGAACTTTTAAATCATGGAAAGGTGGACAGTACTCATTAATCATTCTTGCCCCCCTCCCACGAAAGACAATAAAAGAGAATGATACATAGTAGAAGCTGGTAGATGTCATGGACAATTGATCTAGAGCTTGAGAAGAGAGAAGACTAGGCTCAGCGAAAGAGAAGAGAAACGAGAACTGTTTCATTGAAAATGGCTGAAGAAGTAAAAATGAAATTGTCTACTTACTGTCCTAAGAGTACAGATATTTATATATCCCAAACTACCAACTAACTACCTTTATTAGCAAACTAATTAACCTACCTAGTTAGGTATTACAATAACAGTTAACTATAGTTAAGTATCAGCTTGTTAATTCAATCCTTCAACACTCCCCCTCAAGCTGATGGCTGGTACACATTCTTCAATCCAAATTGATCCAACAAATACTCATGTTGTGCTCTTCCAAGACTCTTAGTTAGCAGGTTTGCCAGTTGATCGTCAGTATGTACATATTCAGTTTTCAACATTCTTTCACATAGTTTTTTCCTTATAAAGTGACAATCAATGTCAATATGTTTTGTTCTCTCATGAAAGATTGGATTTGCGGCAATTTGAATTGCTACCTTAGTGTCACACACTAGCTTCACAGGAAGACTAACTTTGATTCATAGTTCTGCATATAACCCTATCAACCAAGTGATCTCTGCTGCACAGGAAGCCATGCTTCTGAATTCTGCTTCAGCTGAGCTTTTGGAGATAGTGCTTTGCTTCTTGGGTTTATAAGACACTAGGGAATTTCCAAACTTCACCACATAATCAGTTACTGATCTTCTTGTTTGCACACAAGCTCCTCAAACAGAATCACAGTGGGCAAGCAGTCTCTTTGAGTTTTCTGCAGGCATAAGCAATCCCAAACCAGGTGCCTGCTTTATATATCTCACTACTCTTGATGCTACCTCCATATGAAAGATTCTAGGACAATACATAAATTGACTCAAGACTTGTACTACAAAGGAGATATCAGGTCTGGTCATAGTTAGATATAGCAATTTCCCAACCAGTCTTTGATAGACACTAGGATCCCTTAGCACTTCATCAGTAGTGGCATTTCCTTCCCTGAAGGAAAGATCATATTCTACAGTGGTCAGCTTTTGGTTGATCTCCATAGGGTGCTAGCTGGCTTTGCTCCACCGAGACCTGCTTTAGAGATCAACTAAAGCATATTTCCTTTGACTTATTAGGATCCCCTTATTTGACCTTGCAAATTCAATTCCTAAAAAGAACTTTAGTTCTCCCAGGTCCATCATTTTGAACCTACCTTGAATATCTGACCTTGTATCATATAAAAACTTATGATTGTTGCCAGTAATTAGAAGATCATCTACATATACAAGAATGATCACAATATCATCCCCAACTCTTCTAACAAACAGGGAATTGTCATAGTGACTCTGTTGAAACCCTATGTGTACTAGTGCTTCTGTAAGCTTTAGATTCCACTGCCCGGATGCTTGCTTAAGGCCATATAAGGACTTGTGGAGTTTGCAGACCTTCTGAGACTCCCCTTATCTAGCAAACCCCTCAGGCAAAACCATGTACAATTGTCATGACCCAAATTTCCCACTGCCGGGATCGTGATGGCGCCTAAGATTGAACCCGCTAGGCAAGCCAACGTTACTGATCACTTTACTTTTTTTACTTTATCCTTTAACAATTTACGAGTTATCATAAGAAAATCAGCAGAATAAATGCGGAAAACAAAATTCAACAGATTATCTTAATACAAGTACGAAATCCATAATAAAACTACACCCAGAACTGGTGTCACAATTTCACGGACTGTGTACGAATACTACAAATAGTGGTCTGAACAAAGAAGTACAAATCTATCTCGGAAATGGATAAAACAGAAAAGAAGCAGGATAGAAGGGGACGCCAAGGCCTGCGGACGCCGGCAGGATTACCTCGGTCTCCACTAGACTGAAGGCAACAACCTCGAACTACGGTATGTATGGTCCAGTATCGAGATCTGCACAAAAGTGTAGAGTGTAGCATCAGTACAACCGACCCCATGTATTGGTAAGTGCCGAGCCTAACCTCGGTGAAGTAGTGACGAGGCTAGGATACGACCAACATCATAAACCTGTGCAGTTAAACAATATCTAACAGCATAACAATAATAGAAGCTATCAGAAATTTACGGGAAGGGGCAACATGCTATGGGGGATACCAGAATAAGGAAACACAGAAATAATGAAAACGAAACAATTAAGGCACTTGAACCGATAACAACAAATAATCACAGCAACAGAAAACAAATGCATGGCATCACCCTTCGTGCTTTTACTCTCAATCCTCACAATGCAATCAATAATGGAAATGTTCACGGCATCACCCTTCGTGCTTTATCACTCTTCCTCGCCATGTGAATAATAATGTGCACGGCATCACCCTTCGTGCTTTATCTCTCTTCCTCACCATATGCATCAATATAAATGTAAATGTGCACAGCATCACCCTTCGTGCTTTATCACTCTTTCCTCACCATATGCATAAGTATGAATGTGCATGGCATCACCCTTCGTGCTTTATCGCTCTTTCCTCGCCCAAACAGTAAAAACAATAACATCCCGGCAAGGGAATCAACAATGGAAACAAATACATCCCGGCGAGGGAATCAGCTATAACCAATCTCGTTCCAACATTTATCTTCACAAAATGAATCTCAACTTGAGCCAATACCCAACAATGGTCAAATACCAAGAATATATCATAAGTCTTGTTCAACAGGGATAATCTTCAATTTAAGCATGGATAGTACATAATAAGAATCACAACAATTACAATATAAGACTCACGGACATGCTTGACACCAACGTATAGATACTCGTCACCACACCTATACGTCGTACACAACACTAACACGTAGCAAATAAGACACAACACCTATTCCCTCAAGTTAAGGCTAGGCCAAACACTTACCTCAATTCCACGGCTAAAAATCAAGCCTCAAATAACGCTTTCCCTCTAGATTTCACCTCCAATTCACTTGTATCTAGTCATAATTAACTTAACAACATCAATAAATGCTAAAGAACTCAAATCCAATGCCTAATTCTAGTTTTCCCAACATTTTCCCCAAAAAGTCAAAAATCGACCCCGAGCCTGCTTGGTCAAAACCTGATGTTCGGACCAAAACCCGATTACCCATTCACCCCCGAGCCCGGATATGCAATTAGTTTTGGAATCCGACCTCAATTTGAGGTCTAAATCCCCAAATTTTGAAACTCCCAAATTTCACCCATAAACACCCAATTTCTCATGAGAATCCCTAGATTTTGTGATGAAATCTTATAAAAAGATGAAGTAGATTGAAAGAAATGAGTTAGAAATTATTTACCTATGATTTGGGGAAGAACTTTTCTTTGGAAAATCGCCTATGGGAGCTTAGGGTTTGATAATTTGAAAGAATGAATTGAAATCTCGTCTAAAACTCTTTTTGAACAGTCGCAGTTATCGCATTTGGGATCAGGGGTTCGCAATTGCGAGCCCCGCAAATGCGAACATTACATCGCAATTGCGAAGAATGCTCAGTCCTGCTATTATCGCAAATGCGAACATTTGTCCGCAATTGCGACCTGTTCTTATCGCAAATGCGATGATGAACTTCGCAATTGCGAAGGTCCCCTGCCCAGCCTTTTTATCGCAGAT